TGGGAGCCATTTCGGAATTCGCTGCACGAGGGACTATCGTTGACTAATATCGGATTTTAATATTCCTTCTGTTTTCATCGTGTTTAGCCACCCGGCAACTGGCTCGCACTTCTCTCTCTTCTCTAAAGCCAACTTCCCACTGTTTGTAGCCATACTTTGAACTGATTGTCTACTTATACTGACTGACTCAGCAGGTTAATTCACCCGTTGGCTGAAATCTTTCTTGTCTTCTCTCTCCTGGATGGAAGATTATATTAGTTCTTGCTCCTCCTCAGGCTGGGTTCCGGCCTTCACAACTTTTTACAAGTCAGGTACAAAAGAATTCTTCTGAAGAGTCCAGGACTACATCTGAAGACAAGTCTTGATTTAAACTGGTTTCTTCCTCCGTTCCAACGTTTCTGTAAGAGCACGTCCATCTCATTCATGCATACGTTTGTTAAGTTTGATGGTTAAGACAGTTGTGGAACTAACTATCACCCACCCCAATAAATTATTATCCTGTTGGCTTGATCAAGGCCTGTCTGATTAAATTCAGGGTGGAACACAAAAATAGACATTCTCTGGTTTTCTCGTTGTGCAATATTTGAAGCTTTTCTTTTTTAAAAAAAAAAAAAGCTAAAATGAGGAAGAGCATCTTTAGAGCTTTTAAGATTTATTTTTAGAATGGAAAATTCCCTGCTTCCAAGAAAGGAGGCAGTGAAAAATTGCTTCTTAAAAGGTTGACAGTTCAAATACAAATGAACTCATACAAAGATGCGATGGACACCATCCTTAAAAGAGGAACCTGGGAAATAAATGAACCATACAGTGTTGTATGCACACAAAAAAAGCACCCTTTGGGGGATTAGTGCAAGGGGGGGGGTAAATGGGGACAGTTGGCTGCATTTTATGTATATCAGCCCTTGTGACATGTTGGGCCATGGCACGCTTCTAAGTTGATCGATCCAATTGGCACAAATTCTAAACCTCTAAAACAGAGGTGTGTCCAACCTTTGGCAGCTTTCATTGTTGTGAACTTCAATGCCCAGAATTCCCCAGCCAGCAACTTCCTGCTCTAAAACACGATTAAGGTTGTAAGGCCAGATTCTCCTCTGATCAACCGGGCAGATTGACCAAGTTCTTAACACGCAAAATGCTCCCTTTGTGTGTTTCGCCACACGTCTTTCGCAAGTCCATCACTCCCCAGGAAGCGTGTCGCAATCTCTAGAGGAAGTACCGTTTCATTGGTTTGCAAGTCCTTCCTTAGAAGAGGGTGTTTGTGGCTCAGGGTTCAACTGTGTGGGGTCTTTTGGTGCTGTCTTCCTTTTTTTCCATGTACTTATTTGTCAAACGTATGAAGCCGCCCTTGTCTCACAAAACTAAGTGACTCCAGTGAGAGGATCTAGGTGGTGATAAGGAGAACCTCAAGAGATAAAACCACCGGGCCCTTTTCTGGAGGTTGGTTAGGTGGCTGAAGCAATCCTCTTTGGGTATCTGTATGGAGAAGTCAGCTCTTGCCTGCACCCATCTAGAAAGGGAACACCGAGTGGAGCCAGGCTGAAAGAAACTGGGAAGATCTAACTTAACAGAAAAGAGGATGAATGTTGACCATATAGCACTTAGACCTATACGCCACTTCACAGTGCTTTACAGCCCTCTCTTAAGCAGTTTACAGAGTCAGCCTCTTGCCCCCAACAATCTGGGTCTCCTCGTTTTACCCACCTCAGAAGGCTAAGTCAGCCTTGAGCCGGTTGGGATCGAACTCCTCGCAGTGGGCAGAGTTAGCCTGCAATACTGCACTCTAACCACTGCACCACCATGGTAGTTAACCTGCTTAACAGCATCTTAAGAGACATATTGCCATTGTTGGCTCTAGTCTAGGGCAGGCTTTGCCAAACTCGGCAACTTTTAACTCTCAGAATTACTCAGCCATAGTGTGGATGGCTGGGGAAATTCTGGGAGTCGGAATTCCAACAAGTCTTGAAAGCCGCCAAGTTTGGAGAGGCCTGGTTTAGGGAGTTAGTAAAATTGGGACTTTAAACCCAGCAAAGTAAATAACGGGAAAGGCACGTCGCTCGGGGCTGCCTAAAATATGATCTTGATAAGCTGCTAATGTTTTTTTTTCAGATGGATCAAAGGGAGAAATCAAAATCTATTTCCAGCTGCTCAATTTACCTGGGATGAACTTTGGATGATCTTCCACCCAATAGCAAGGAGTATGTTGGGATAAGGATGGCATTAAAGCCATGCTCTCCAGAGCTCCAGCATACATTAGCATCCTAATGTATATAAAGTATATATAACCAACTCTTGGTTCCCCCCCACTACCAGAAAGGACCATATCAGATCATAAAACAAATGGGGATCCACTAAAAAACAACCCATCCCCTACCTCAATGCACTTTTCTGGCTGTCAATTATCTTCCAGCTTTGGGATGGGGATTCTTTTTAAAATGTCGAGGCTTAAAAAGAGACTTTTCTCTATCCAGAAGGATCCTGGACTGTGATCCAGCCAGCTGTTAAAAATTCCCTTTTTATTTTTGGGAGAAACCCTTTCAGGCTCATGATCTCATGTTTGCACAACGGACACAAAGCCGATTGAGGGAGCTAACCACGTTCCATGGACATCCTGGTCAAGGCAGATGCAGGGACCTGGTGGAAGTTTGGCTCATTCTGGTGAAAAGGACTCAAAAGGGAAGCGGGGGAGGAGGAATTGGATCATAGCATCGTCTCTTCATTCTTGTTGACCAATTAGGAGCCTGGTTTTGGGTTGGGTTTGTGTCTGAAGATGTCACCAAGACCTTTTGTTTCTGAATGGGGGGATTTTTTTTTTTGTTATATATCTGAGCTTCAGCACCACCTAGTGACTTAAAAGGAAGCAGGAAAATTAAAACTGGGTGAAGAGTGGAGATTTGGCTTGGGGCTGAGCAGCAGGCAAGTTGCCTGAAATGTTCTCTCTACAGTTGCTAAACGTCAATTCAGAAACGAGGAGGAATGTGGGCAGAGCAAAAATATATCCAAACCTGCAAGTTTATCGTAAAATAGGTTTGCGGACTGCTGTGTGGACTGCAATCAATACGTTCACGTGCTATGACCGTTGTTGTGTCCCAGGATCACATGGTCCTCTTTGGTGACCTTCTGACAAGCAAAGTAGGAAGCCACTTAACAACTGGGTTGCTAGTTAAGTGGTTCACTTAACAACAGAGGCTAGAAAGGTCGTACAATGGGGCAAAACTCACTTAGCAAATGAAGCAAACAAAAACTGGTGGGACAATCATCATCATCGTCTTTTAATGACCCCATAATCCCTCGCAGGGTGGAATCCGGGCAACTGAATGGAGCTAGCGGAGTGTTTTAATGGCCGGATGCCCTTCCCGTCACCAATGAGGAGTTTTGTTCAGCAGATATCTCAACCCAGAGAGACAAATAGCTGCCTCTCCCTAGGATCCAACTCACAGCCTTCTGACTGAGAGGCGAGAGCTTCACCTCCGGTCCCGTGCACCACTCAAAAGCTGGTAGCAGAATGGCTTGAGAAAAATAAGGTCTGGCAGAAAGATCCCAGGCTGCTGAGGGGAATCATAGCTAGCTGCTGCAGAAAATAAAAGCATCGTGGCTTAAGGCTCTCGTCCTATAAAATACAAGTGATCCTCACCTGTGCTCCCCAGGTAAGAGCAGCACACATCCGGTATAAAGTATTTATTTTATACTCAACAATTAACACAAATCCATCCTTTGTTTTTTTTTGTTTTTGTACAGTAAATAAAAACGTAATATTCCCCTTTCATGCATGATCGCCGTATTAATCTGAGCCTTTTTTTTTTTAATGTGAAAAAATAAAACGTCCCCTCCTCCATTTTTCGTTTCTTTCTTTCTTTTGTACGGTTTTTAAACTTCTGGTGTTGATGTGCGTTAACGGAGACGAGGATGTAAGAGTTACGCGAAGCCCGTTGAGCGGTTTTTGTAAAAGCTACTTATCGTTTTTGTTCTTTCTTTGCACACGAAGGGTTAAAAATGGGATCAAATGGATCATCCCATCAAAATAAATAAAGAATCTGAAAGGTCCGCAGATCCCTCTCACCTAAGGATCACTTCTTGCTTCTAATATGTGCATGCTTACCTTCGCCAGCCAAAAAGGGGAGATATTTTTATGGTATTTTTTTTGGAGCAGGGCTGCAGATTGCTGGATGTTTGGACTAATAAACCATCTTTCTAGGAAAAGAACCGGATTTTAGCTGTAGTTCATACCCCTGGAGGGCCGAAAGTTCTCCTCTGACTAACCCTCCCACATGTTGGGGTTAAATGACGTATTTTTAGAAAGTTTACCTGAAGTTATGCTCGGCCTGTTATCTTGCTATCATTACTCAAATGGATCATATTTTTTTTTTCCCTACGATGGACAGGAATTTGGTATAAGTCCTTGCTTGGGGTTTTGTTTTTTTTCAATCAGTAGCAATTTTTTCTTTGGCTCATCTGAAAATTCATTATTACTACTACTACTATTACTATTATTTTGGCACCAGTCTACAGGACGCTTTCTTGAGCAGAATTGCCTGAATTTTCAGCAACAACTCCACCCTGTTTTTCTTCCCTCCCCTTTGACAATCAAAATCCTTAATTGGTGACATGAAACGGTAGCCTTTGGGGGAATATATATATATATACACACACATACATATACATACATACATACCGTGTGTATGTGTGTGTGTGTGTATTTTATATATATATATTCGTAGATTTTCACTGGTACAGGTATGTAGGTCTACGTGTGTTCGGGTCTTTTCCTGTGTAAGATTTTATATATATATATTTATATATATATAAAATCAATCAAGGTGTGTTCTGGTTTTATTTCGTGGGCCTGGAAAGAGGAGGGAAATACTGCTCAGAAAAACCACAGACAAGGCGCCTTTTCCAATCTGCCGCCAGCGTTAAGAAAAGTCCGCTAATGATCGCAACAAAATCGGTTTTTCTCCTGGCTACCAAAGCGCATTGGGTGATGTTTTCTTTTTTTAAAAAAAAAACATAAATAATATAGACCAAAACATTATGAACATCTCAGCAAACCTTCTTCTTTTAAACATAACAGAAGGGCCCCCTTGAACCTGTCGAAGAACGACTGCAGGATCCGTTCCCAATGTCTTTTTTTTGTGTTTTTTTCTGTTTTGTCATCGGCGTGGTGGGAGTCTCAGGTGAGCGCAGGGTGGGCTTCCGTGGGGTTCAGGAGGAGCTCAATCCAGCTCGATGGGGCTGCTGTTTTCCTGCTGCTCTTCCGTTTCCTCCTCTTCCCCGGCTACCATGAGGCTGTTTAAAAGGTTGCCTAAGGGAAGAATCACACGAGGAGGGAAACCCCCCAAAATGTTAGGGACGCTCACCTGAACGATGGGCCCTGGACACAAATTCACCCAGAGTTTCACCTTAAGATGGACGGCCTATAAAATTCTTATGAACAAGTAATAAAATTCTGCTCCCCAGTGGTGGTCCGAGCAGGTCGAGGGTTAACGGCGGCAGCTGGCTCCCAAAAATAAGCTAGGGTAACCCATCCGCGAGACGCAGATCTTAATTAAGATTGCGCATGGTTTATCACAATACGACTGCCAATACGATCCACCGAAGTTAGAAAATGAACAGGTGGCCAGCGTGATGACACGGGGACGGGGGGGGGGACTCCCTCTTCAAAGGCCAGGGTGAAGAGCAAGGGTGTTTCAGCTCCTTTGAACAAGGGTGAGGGGAGTTCTGGATCGGGGTGGGGGTGGAGGACCTCCTTCCAAAGGGTAGGCGCCGATACGGAGAAGGTGGGCTTCAGGGCTCCTGACAGATAACACCGTGGAATCAAAAGGAGCCCAGAGGTTAACAACCATCCAGTTGTTACCTTTGGAAGCCATATTGAGACCAGATGCTCCCACGCTGCCACATTTCGAACCCGGGAAAGTGGGAGGGGGGAATTTCTTGGAGTCTATGTAGTTACACATAACATTCTTTCTCAAATTCAAGGTCATGTCATTTCTCCACCTGGGTGAGGGGGAAGTCTCAAGTTGGGACGGAGGGTGATTGGGCCACGTGATGCGATGACGGGTGCAGCTGGGGTGGGTTTGTAGTTTCTACTTATTGCGAGGAACCCCAGGACTTTCAGGATTCCCCAGATGTGCCACTTTACTATCCAAATAAACTTCTGAGAAGATGTCTGTCTCGGGAGTTATTGGCTGGAGGTTTGCTGGAACGCTGACACCCGTAAGAGGTATTTCAACTCACGTGAAAGGTGATGGACCCACGCATTGCTGCCCTCCCCACGGCAACCCAGCAGCCATCGGCTAAAAAAACAAGCTGATTTTTTCTTTTCTGGAGGCAAGAAGGTTCGCCCTGCGTCTTCAACTCACCTAATAGTCCTCCGTAGGATGACGTTTGTTTTGGGGGGACACCAAAGAAGAGCTGTCCTATTCTGTCTAGGTACTGAAGAAAGCACAGGGGGGAAAAACAGAGACGTTACTCGCGGCTCTTAGGCACCCTGGACTAAGCAGGGCTCAATGCTCTGCCTAGAGTGTAATTATTTGCGATTCCTGTTTGCTGGGGCGTTGACAATGGTTCAGTGTTGCTCTAGGTGGGATCTCCAGGCGCATGTCCTCTACAAGTGGAGGACTGGTTTTATAGAGAAGGGACCACTGGGATGGTAATGGCAACCCGAGTTCGCTTTTTGGATTCCCAAACAACCTGGGAGCGTGCCATTTTTCCCTGCTCGTCCTAGTAACAGGTTGAAACAATTCTCATTGTGCAGAAGAGGCCTTTCTCAGGGTTGAGGCACAGCGTCTAAATTACTCCCTGGTGGAAGAACTATGTAACACCCTTGCTTCCCACATCTTCAAACAGTTTTTCTCTCAGCAATATTAATAGATATGGGGTCCTTGGTCCTCTCTGAATCTGCATGTTTTCTTGCAGACGGTTCATTACCCAACTAGGTAATGTCACCAATGCTAGAAGGGAGTGGGGTTGGTGGAGAAGTGGTGGTGGAGGAAGAGGAGGAGGACTGTGGGATCTATGGTTTTCTTGCAGACATTTCATTAGTAAACTAGGTAACATCATCCGCGCTAGAAAGCAGCAGGGTTTGCTCTCCAATTTCCTCACTCCCTTCTGACACAGATGATATTACCTAGTAGGGTAATCGAATGTCTGCAAGGGAACAACCCAGCCCAGAGAGCACCAGGGACTCCACAGTGAACCCTGAGCTCAAAATATTCTACCATTAGTACGAACAGATTCCCAGAGTATATTAGGATCTCGTTTTTAAACAAGCCTATAAGTTAGTTGCCTATTTTCATCCCACGTTAACCATTCCGGGCGCATCTTGCATAGCTAGCCGGAAGTCGCACTCTCAGATTAAAATACGGGCAGAGGAATAAAGAAGGGAAAGGTGAAAAATATAAAAATCCCGCTCGGGATAAAACTTACTTCATTATACATGGGGTCCCGTTTCAGCGAAGGCTGATATTGTTCGCATAATACTGTAAATACGGTCAGTTTTCCTCTAAAAGAGAAGAGACAGCCAACACACACACACACACACACACACACACACACACACACACACACACGTACGTTTCATGTGAAACTTGAAGAGTTTGGAAAAGGGAGCGTGTGTTCAGCAGCTTCATGGAAGGCTTACCCGTCAACCGCCAGCAGCAGAAACCAGATGAAGTTAAGCAAGGGCTGTACGAAGGGGGGCCCGCTTTCTATGGAAGGATGCTTCTCCGTGTACGTCGTGAAAACCACCAAGGCGCTAGTTTTGTTTTTCAAGCAGAGGAATCTAAAACGGGAAATGAACGACAAACTAATAAATAAAGATTCTCTTGTCATTCAGATTACTGCTGTCTCAAAGAGGCTGGTGTGGTTTTTTTTTTTTTTCAGGAGGAAGAGGAGGAGGAGGAGGAGGAGGAGGAGGAGGAGGAGGAGGAGAAAAAGGAGGAGGGAGGAGGAGAAGAA